GATGGAACTAAGCATCTGAGTTTTCCAACAGGTCCCTCCTCTTAACTCTCTAGGGAATAATTAATGGGTGGTATGTTGGGTAGGGAGTCTGCCTACTCTTCTTGCTATGTGCTGTCTGGGGGGAGAGGGGTTTCAACTGCTTAAAACCTGTTTCCTCATGTAGAGGGCCAGTGTCAAGCCTGGTACGCAGAAGGTATTCAAAAAATATTGAGTCAAAATAGCAGCACTTACTAAGCTCGTTCACCAAGCCAGGAGACACGACCTCTCCGCCTCGCTGGCTGGGCTCACTGAGGCTGGGTGAGTCCTGTGCACAGCACACAGGTGTCGGGGGCAGAGGGTCTGAACTGGCTCTGCCTGGCTCCAAGTCCATCCTCTTCCAGGCCCCTAGCTACAGTGCCCAGCAGCCTTTGTGAGAGCCTGGGACTCCGCTCCTGGCTCAAATGTGTAACCCAGTGGGACTTCCACCCAGACCAGATGATTGAAGTTTGGGGAAAAACATATGAAATCATCAGCCACTTCTTTTATATTCTGTTGTTGCAGTAGCTGGTGTGGGAGCATCACTGTTCTGCTCCACCTCTGGGTGTGTTGTTGCTGTGATTGCTACCATGATCATCATCGCCAACAGGGCAGGCTCTCTGAGGCGCGGACTGTGGCTTCAAAGTAGTCTGTGCTCTCAAGGACCCCACACCATCAAACAGAGAGAGAATACTTTCAGTATCAGGCACTTGGGGGCAGAGTGACCCATAGTAGTGATTATATAAATAAACAACTAGACGTAGCTTTTGTATTTTAAGGATCAGATGCAAAGTCAATTAAAGTCAATCCAATAATTAGACCAATAATAAAGATATATTTTTGCTCTATACTAAAAAAGGAGACAGTGAATGTAAGGGATGGCAGCATCCCAATGAGAGAACACCGAGAAAAACAGAAAGGGCTAGGAGATGAGCCAGAGCCAGAGCTGGGTCTTAGTCGGGGGCGTGCGAATGCCTGCCCCCCCTCACTGTCATCGTCAGGATCAGTAGGATCGCATATTAGTATGGAGATACCCTTTAATATCCAAAGAGACAGGCATCTGATGAATTATCACCCTTGCTTGGGTGCATTTTTAGGATATTGCACATTAAAGCTTTGGAAGCTGACTGCGCTGACCCACTATTGGAAAGAGCCACACAATAAGGGAGGAAATTAAAAGAGGAATCACGCTGAATTCTTTCAAGCAAACAGATGAGAAATGTCTGAGTGGGGATGGATTACATTTGGATTTTGCAGTTAAGCTCCTGTTCTGGAATTCTGATCGAAGGGAAAAGGAGGAAGCAATGGAGGAGGGGGCCCCAGGTTCAGAGCTCCCAAGGTCTATGGGTGAGGGAGGTCTCCTCACAGTAGCTTCATGGTACCACCGGGGCTTTTGTTTTGTGCACAGATGTGCAGGGTCCACTCTAGATCCCTTGAGCAGAGACCCCTGGGTGGCCCCTGCACAACCCCAGGGGGCTTTGAAGAATCATGGGCACTGTATTGCCCAGGAATGGGGGCTCCTGCAGGTGTACAACATGGTGGCCTGGGCCAGGGCCAGTCTTCTCAGCCCTTCAGTCCTGCATGTGGTCTTTCACACAGGGGCAGAGCTGGCCCTAGTGTTTGGTGTGTTGAGGGAGTATGGGCTTCGTGCACAGGGCTGGTGGTATGGCCAGCTGTTCTGCAAGCAGCATCTGAGGAAGGCCCCTCTTGTCCCCTAGAAGTTCCATGCCTGGAAAGCCCAGGATGCCCATGCTGAGGGCCTGGTTAGAAGTCATGGGCTAGGGAGCCTGGCGAGAGAAGTCAGGCCAGTGTCCGTGCTGGGGGTACAACAGGTGGGACTGCAGATGGAAGTATGAAGGCCAGAGAGGAGGGCAGTAGGCAGAGACAGGGATGAAAGGAGGCATGAAACATGGCAGAGAGTCCAGGGCACAAGGAGGGGTCCAATCATTTCCTGTAAGCCTCTGTGGTATACCTGGCTCAGTGTGGCACTGACGGTTACTTTGCGCTGCTGGTCTGCTACTGTGGATGCTGGAGCCAGATGGGATGGGATGAGAAACTATTTCATCATTCAAACAGGGGGGTGTGCTGGCTTCCTTGTTCCTAGAACAGCTAGAATTATGTCTTTTTAAACATCATCCAACTAGCCAGGCATCAGTGGATTCTTATTGCGGAGGGCGGAGGGCTGGGTAGTACATAAGCTCTCCCTCCAGATAATAATCTTTGTAAAAAGCCCTAATCACAGCGCTTTTCTCTCAGCCAAACCAGGAGCTAAAAGTGGCCATCTACAGAGTGGGGATCCCACTGTTTTGTGGAACCTCCAGCAATATATTCTCCTCCCTTCCCAGGTATCCTGAGGACCAGAGAGAAAGGAGTCAAGCCCAGGCTGCTACCTCCCTGCCCCTGTACACACCTGGCACTAGTCAGCAGGGACCCAGGCCTGGGGGCATCACCACATGCCCAGTGCTGGGCTGGCTCAAAGCCAGCACTGAAATGACCACTGACAATCAGGAAGGGGCACAGGGCAGTGACTGTTCCCAGGGACAAATTACCAGAACCCCAGATGGATCCTGAACTTCTTTATTCTCAGCTTCATGCTACTTTGTGTGGGGCAGTTCCGCATGAAGACAAGTGTGGTTGAAGAAAAAGCTTTCTCACCTTTCTGACTGATACTGTTGATAAAAATATGCTGTTTGCTAGTACAACCACTATGGAAAGCTGTTTGGAGGTTCCTCAAACTGCTAAACATGGAGCTTCCCTATGACCCAGCAATCCCACTCCTAGGTATCTACCCAAAAAACACAAAAACACTGATTCAAAAATATACCTCCACCCCCATGTTTATTGCTGCTTTATTCACAATTGGAAAGACATGGAAACAGCCCAAATGCCCAAAAATGGATGACTGGATTAAAAAGATGTGGTACATATACACAATGGAATATTACTCAGCAACCAAGAAAAAGAAACACATGTCTTTTGCAGCAACATGGATGGAGCTGGAAAAGATCATGCTTAGTGAGATAAGCCAGAAAGAAAAGGAAAAATACCGGATGGTTTTACTCATAGCAGGAATATAATGGAACAGGTTATAAAATAGTGATAATGATGAACAGTTATATACCAGAGACATTTTGTGGGGGTCAAGTGGGGAATGGGATCAAAAGCAGTGGGGAGAGGGAAATGCACTGGACTATGGTGATGGCACACAGGTGATTTGGTGATGGGAAACCCAAGGGGATTGCAACTGAGATGGAAAAATGCACAAAAATATGTAAAAATAAACTATTTTATTTTTAGGAAGGGGGGATGGGATAGGTTCCTGCATCAGCATCACCTGCACCCTGGGCCAGAACCAGTCCACCCCAAGTGAGCACTGCCCAGGGGCTGAATGAAGCCTGACCCTGGGGTTCCACCAAGCCATCAGAGAGACAGTAGCTCTAAGTCATGCAAGGCTCCACTTTCCAAATTGTAGTGCCGGGGGTGTGAACAAGGGGCTGCCCCAGTCCAGTCAAAGCCATCCTTTGTCAAAACTATCATTGCCCCTTCCTCAAGAGCTGGCCTCCTACCATTTTGCTCATCTCCAAAAAATGCTTAACCAAACGGTAGCATCTGGATTTAGATTTAACTTGATTTCAGCTTTCTGTAAGAGCTGGTGAAAGTTATCTTTCATCTTGGAAAATTTCCTAAACTAAGCAAAGGAAATTTAACTCTGTTTTCACCTCTCAGAAAAGAAGCTGCCAGATGTTCCCCGCCAAATGGTGGGGCCCAGGGCCACAATACAACATAATTAAGTCCCTCTTCAGACCCAGCTACAATAGTTAAACAGTCTTTATATTAGTGTTGGAACTTCTATTACTATATAGCTGTTTTGCTGAATCTGGTTGTGACCGCTACAGACTTGTAAAGAACAAGGTGCGTGCAGGCCCACGAGTGTTGTTTTTGCTCATGCAATTGGACTCCCTATTCCATCTGGTAATCTTTAGCTACTAAGTTAAAAACAAGCACATAGCAATTGGGGCCACTCAAAAAAAAAAAAAAATGAAACAAAAACAAAACACTGTTTGCTTATTGCAAATCATGGCATGGGGAGAGCTTGCAGGGAGATGACAGAATAGAACCCCTCCAGCAAGTGTCAATGTGAAGGACAAGAGTTGTAGTAATCAGAGTCAGCTGATGGTCTTGTCCTTTCTGGAGGTGCTTGTGTCCCCCTCCAGAAACTCTCCCTTTCTCTCTCTCTCCCTCTTGCCTGCATGTTCGCATGGCTTCCTTTCCCGGGGAAAGGTGGACATGGCTTGCAAAGTATTGTAGCTCAGAAACTCAAAAGATACTTCAGAGTCAGAGAGGGACTTCCACTGGGCCTTACTTTGTATCAAAATCTAGGAGACATCACATTCTCCACTTGCCTCAGGATAAAAGGTAAGGAATGAGTCAGCTCTGTCTATGTTGGTGCCAAAGCTGCCGTTCAAAGCTGCTGCGGTGAAGATTCTGCTGTGCAGGCGGCAGATGTGGGCTAAGACAGATTTTCTGATGAAAAAATAAAACCCCAAGAAGTGTTTGCATTAGCAAACCAAATGGGAATCCTGTGCTACTCTGATTTTGCTTCCAAATGGCTCCTTCAGTGCAAACCGCCCTGGGCAGGTGTCCTAGGTGGACAGGCTCTTCCCAGAGATCCAAGGAGCCGGCCCCCAGGGAAGGGTCACTGCTGTTTATTTTGAGCTTCTCTGGGCTGATGCCTGATGGAGGCGCTGGCCAAAGCCTCTGCTGTTCTGAGGAATGGTCCTGCAGTCCCAGGCACTATCGTGCCCACTGTGGAGACTCGTGAGTGACCGCCTCTGTCCCACCTCTCTAAAGACACACAGCAGCTGGTCTCCACGGGCAGCAGACTGTTCCCAGCTTTCACCGCAGGTGTGGCAAGGAGACTGGTGCTAGTGTCGGTGCTTCATACCCAGAGGTTCCCTGTGAGGAAGGGCTCAGCTAGTAAGACCTAGGTTTACTCCGCTGTGAAGTGGGGATAATGCGGGGTATGCTCAGGTGGATCTAGGGGAAGAATACGTACAAATAGCCTGAGCCCATAAAGTCTATAAGGGGAAAGGCACAGGTCACAGGTTATTCCTGGAGATGACCACCTGTACTATTGCTGTTTTAATTGGTTTTCTAGGGTGACTCCTGTGCCTCTTTGCTCGTGGGTTTGCAGAACTGTTTGGAAGAGGAAACATGGGCAGAGTGACATCTCTTCAGCAAGGGGAAGCGGCATGGGGTCCAGGAAGGAGCTGTCTGCCTCTGTGAAGCTGAGTGAGCAGAAGAGGCAAGAAGACACCACCTGGCTGAGTGTGGGAGGAAGGGAGAGGGCACCCATGAGGGCCTGGCCAGTGGGGCCTGGCTAGGAGCTATAAATGACCGCTAGGGGGCCAGCTGCTCTCTGGGCCTGGAGCCCTGCTGATGGAAACGCTAGTGAGGACTGGAAACTTAAAGAGCTCCCTGAGGCCACAATGACCCTGGTGAGGGAATGTGGAGATAAGGTAATACAATGAATGGCATTTAGCGAAGGCTGACAACTATGTTCAAAGTGGATGACTGGATCAAAAAGATGTGGTACACAATGGAATATTACTCAGCAATCAAAAAAGATGAACTCATGCCCTTTGCAGCAACATAGATGGAGCTGGAAGGGATCGTGCTTAGTGAAAGAAGCCAGAAAGAAAAGGAAAAATACCGGAGGGTTTCACTCATAGCAGGAGTGTAAAGGACTGGGGGTGGGGGTGGGGGGGGAGGAGGAAGCAATTATAATAAAGAAAACTGAAAAACAATGAGCAACTATATACCAGAGACATTTTACAGGGGTGGAGTGGGGAATGGGATCAAAAAACGGGGTGGGAAAGGTGCATGGGACTATGGTGATGGCACAGGGGTGAGCTGGTGGTGGGAAGTCTACGGGGATTACAACCAAATGAAAAAAGGCACAAAATGATGTAAAAATAAATGATAAAAGAAAAAAGTGTCCAGCACCCACATCCCATTGAGTCACCTGCCACTCTGCCCCTTTTAGTCACCAGACACGTGACATTGCCAGTCCCTTGAGTACAAAGTCCTTCCTGCTCAGGCCCCCATGTGTGCTGTTCCCTCGTGGAACGGCTCTCCCCCCACTGCTCCCAGCTTCTCATTTTCAAACCTTAATTTCAGGTTCCCTCTGAGGGCAGGCTTTCCTGACTGTGCCTCTGACGCTCCATTTACCTGCCCAGCTTCTCTCTCCCTCTAGCCTCTTGCTCTGGAAACAAGAGAGCCTTGCGTAGAGGTCGTGATGGATCCACAGTCTCCCTGGGACCCATCTCAGCAGCACCTAGCACCACACCCTGATCCAAACAGAAGCTTGATAAAGATGGTGCTGAGTGCAGCAGGAGCCTCAGAGCCATGCTTTGGGGCAGGTTTTATCACCCCTACATCACAGACAGGAACTAACCGGTTGCTCAGGGTCACCTTAAGGGTAAATGCAGAAACACGCCCCAGAAATGCCGCAGGCAGACCCCAAGCTCCCTGTACTTGCCTCGGACCCTCGGCTCATGGCTGAGTCCGGGGTCTACAAGGATTCCTAGAACAGCTCTGAAACTGACTCTTTCAGTTTGCACAGACTATCTCAGGGGGACTCCCCAAAGCGGGCTGTGCACGCTGCCTGGGCCTGAGCAGCAGGCCTGAGCTAGCGAGGCGTCTTCAGAGGGACAGCGCTCTGCCTCCTCCACTTTCTGTTCCACTTCTAGGCTCCCCCTTTCAACAGAGTGCACAACAGTGGATGGCTCGTGGCCTTCCCGCTCTGCTAACCAAATTATACAGTGCGTAAGGACAGGCCCTGAGACTTGTGTTTGTTTTGTTCTCCTTGGTGCTGGGTGCACAACAACAGCAGTAAAACAAGTTGACAGCATGTGGACAAGGGCAGCTGCTGCCAATAAATCAGTGACGCTCCTCTCTGGTGAAGCCCCGGAAACCGTGGCTAGCCCCAGGCGTCAGGTGCTGAGGAGGACGTGGGCAGTGCCTTCAGGGGAGGCCACAGGCCTGGTCTGGAGCTGCAGGTACACCTTCCCAACCTGTCCCCATGAGGTGAACTTCATGGAACCCCTGGCAGGGGTGGAGTAACACTGTACGTTGCCTTTCTTGGGTCTGATCTTCCAGTGGCAAGTTGCTATGACGGTGGCACCTACAGCCAGCAGAATGAGGCCCCCTCTCAGCTGAACCTCTGAGCAGAAGGCCCAGCACAACTGCCGTCAGCCATCAACATCCCCACATTCTGTGTCTGCTGTCGGGGCGACTTCCACAGAAGCCAAGGATATCATAGGCTTGGCGACTCCACCACAGACACACGTGGGCGTGGGCCCTGCTCTGGAAAGGGCGCTGTGCTCATTTCAGGGACACAGACACAGAGGCCAATCCGGCCATGACCTCCTGGTCATTTGCGATGTGAGAAATGGCCGTTCTCCGGTTGCCACGTCTCCGTTTCATCAAGTGAATGATCCAGGTTGTGAGAACACACATGGCCCTCACGAGGCTATTTCTTTCCACTAAACTCTCATTTTAAAATGCCCATGGACAACTTCAGTTTTCCCACATCGGTCTCTGTGTAAAAACCCTTTTCCATATTCTCCAGTCCACTGGGTTTATTCTCCCTCTCTTCTCCCTCCCAGACCTACTTGACACTTTCCTTCAGTTTCTCCCCACACCCTTCCTTAGGACGCGTTATACTGCCTGGGTCAGCTCCAGATGGCTTGGGGGTGTGTGCCCATTTCTGTGCTGTTGGGGGGCAGACCCAAGGGGACTCACCCAGAGTGGGGTGGAGGCACAGCGGCCTCCTGGGGAGACTGTGGTCTCGTCGGTTGCCTTCATCCTGCAGCTCCGGGGCTGTGGCCACACCGGCTCTTCTTCCACTTGCTGCTCGAATTTGCTCTTCTGTTTCCTTATGATCTGGGGGGGTGGGGGGTGGCAAAGGGGGACAATCACTGAGAAGCCTCTGATGTTATGTGGAATGCGTGGAACCATCTTGGGGGGTGATTTTTAGCCAGGAAAGAAAATTTCAGCAGAATACCAGCTTCCTTCAGATCTGTCTATGATAGGATAGCATAGCCTCGAACATTCAATGGCACTTTATAGTTTATAAATCTATGATGCTAACAACTATCTATTAAGTGCCTACCACATGTCAGGCTCTGTGCTAGACACCATAGGTGCTTTATCACATTTAATCCTCCAGATAATTCCAAGACACACATATTACATCTCTCCCAATTTTACAGAAAGGAAAGAGGCTCAGAGAGGTTATATTATCAGTTAAGGACATTCAGCTCATGCACAGTGGAGCTGGATCTCAAATCCAGAGTCTCTGATTGTAAGGAAGCATCTGGAAGTCCCAACAAGGGAGCAGATGCCAAGAATCCTCTTGGATGGCTTAGCTCGTTTGCACCTTTTGTTAAATTGGGCTCAGTCACTTGGATTTAATGAGCCCATTTATACAATGTTCCTGGGTTCCCAACTTCCCACAGACAGCAATTAGCCAAGAAAACCGATGAACTGTCAAGATGGACATATTCAAAGTCTTTTTAGCTCAAACAGAATGATGAAAAGGAAGGTCTAGAGCTAAGGAGAGGAATAAGCTGAGGTGCTCTGTCCAGGGGCAGACTGGGGGTCTGAGGCATATTCCCCACCTCCAGAGTAGGGATCTGGCCACAGGTACCCAGTGGGATTTTAGAATCGTTATGGACCAGTGACCTCCTGTGCCTCCCATTTTTGTAGCTGGTGGGTTTTCCTTTCGGGTTTTTGGTATTGCAACCTGTGTGTGGGGGGTAAGATGACTTATTGCATGTGAGTGTAGACTTCATAGGGCTCCAGCTTGAAAGGAGCTGAGTTTGGGTTGGATATACTTTGAGCTGTGGTTAGAGGAGACACTTGGGGTCTTTGGATGGGGTGAGTGTGCACACATGTGAAGGGGCATGCATTATTATGACCAAAAAGGAAGATTGAGTTTGTTCAATTCTCCCTGCACACAGTTCTTTGTCATGTTCCTGCAGCCCCCCCCCCCACCACCACACATACCACATACACACACCCTTGCTTTTGAGGTGATGGTGTGCCTTGCTATGACCATGACATATGTAAGGAGGGAGTCATTACAGTGTCAGGGCTAAACACTGGGTCTTAATAGACACTACTGGCTCCTCTCTCCTCTCCTGTGCTTTGATCATGGCCATGAGTAGCTGATGTGTCTTCAGGCAGACCATGGAGTGAACATATAATGTCAGAATTGGATGGCGCCACAGCAGATGCACAAGCTAGAAGGAAACTGTGGCAGAATAAAAATGTTTAGTTTAATTCTCCAAGTTTGGGACTCTTTGAATGATAGCAGAATCTTTGTTAAGCAAACGACATGACTTCTGAGACCACTAGCTAGACAGAATCTGGTTGCCAGAAAAACCAATCACGTGATTAAAAAAGAAAAGGAAGGGACCTCCCTGGTGGCCTAAGTCTCAGGGCTATCATCTCTATAGTCTGAGTTTCATTCCCACCTCTGGCCCAGCCCCCTTTTCTGTCTTGCCAGCTGCTCTCCTTAGCAGTGAATTTCAGAAGAACTGCCTGTTCTGCTCCCTACTGTGTCTGGTGAATCTTTTCATCTCATCCCCCACCCTGCACCTCTGGTCTACACTCCAGTTCTTCTACACAAAAATCAAAAGCAAATAAATAAATCGATTCCTTCTTATTTAAAAAAAAGAAGGTTGGATCTTTCAGCTCCGCTCCCAGCCTCTAGAGAGAGAAGAGGGATGGTGGGTGGTGATTTAATCAATCTTGATTTCTTGAGACTCAATACAATCTCAGAAACAAGGAGCCCTGGCAGGTGTACACGTGGATGTGTTGGGAGGCCGTGCATACAGAGCGGGCACAGAAGCACTCGGCCCCTCAGGGATCTTGTGGTCCTCTGTAATGCTTCACTGTTACACTTCACAACAAGCCAGTGATTATAAATATAGTGCTTTCCTGAGTTTTGTGAGCTGTTCTAGTAAATTCTCCAACCTTAGGGGGCGTAGGGGTCCTAGGAACCCCTGATTCTATGGTAGGCTGGACAGAAATACAGTAACTTAGGAGTAACTGAGACTTGTGTTTAGTGTCTGAGTGGGGGAGTCCACGGGACTGAGCCCTTCCCATATAAGGTTGGTGCTAACGCCAAGTATCAATAGTTAATGCCAGCACTAAATGGCGTTGCAGGGTACCCCTTTGGGGTGAAGACTTGATTGTGGAACACAGAAATAATCCTTATTTAAAGTCACAGAGTTTGGGGGTGGTAGGTTTCTCAGCAGGAATGAACTAATTATACCATGTAAGGGACAACTTAGGGCATGGAGTGGGAAAGCAAATCTTCAGCAAGAGAATATTTGAGAAGTGTGAGAAGGGCAGTGTGCACACACACACGCACATACACAGACTAGGAAACACGGAGCCAGGGTGTTGTCTGCCTGCTCAGTGCTGAGTTGTGGTTCTTTACCCACTAGTCAGTTCCCAAAACAATTACTTCAATTCCTCTGCTTAGGTTTTGCAGAGCAATGCAACCTTGCATTAACCCTCAGAGCATAAGGCACCTGGGAGGAGTCTCAGAAGTGTGCACTAGGCAGTGATGGTGCCCCTGGCTGCTCCTCAGCTCACCAGAAGCCCTGGTCCTGGCCACACAGTAAATCGCAGCCATCTGGACACCAGGACGCACCTACCTTCTGCAGGATGGTCGTGGCCAGTTCCTCTGTCAGCTCCTCCTTGTGGTCCCGCAGGTAACTGGCCTCATTCTGCTTGTCCTGCACAGAGGGGAGAGCACGGCCATGCTGAGGGTGTCCTGGCCTTTGGGAGTCCTGACCACAAATGTGGGGAGGGCTGGGCACAGACTAGTCAAGATGGCTATCTAGGTGGGGGTGGTGGGGGGAAAGGGGGAAGGAGAATTTCATACCAAGCTGTCCCCATAGGCTTCTGCTTTGGAAATTGCCTCCTCGATGGCCTCTTCAGCCACCCGTAGGGCAACAGCTAATGTGTCCATCATGCTATGACCTAGACAGAAAAGAGAACACAGACCACTTTCTGAAAGAGAACGACAAGTAAAATGACTGTCCCTTTCAGCTCGTGCAGTCATATCTTTCTGGGGCTCTGGAATTAGTTCTAAACCTGCCCATGGGTATACATACCTGTGTTAGTGAGAAAAGTGAGATTTGAATTCAGGAGTCTGTCTCCAAAACCCTTGCTTTCAACCACAAAGGGAGAGAAATACAAGCTGACATGACTGAAACCACAAATATAATGGTTCTGTATTTGTAGTGAACATTTCCTATTTTTCCCATAAGGCAACCAAGGGGAGGCACTTCCCCAAGACAAAGAATTTGCCACAAGTCAACAAGTCACAGGTTTTTTTTTTGTTTTTTTTTTTTTTTAAGAGCAAAGTGCTTAGGAATGTCTGTGGCCCCTGAGTGCCAGATTTGTGCTTCTTACTTGAAAATGAGCATCTCGACTATCTGTCTTAGTTTGCCCCTGCAGCCTAGTTCAGGTCAGGCACAAGAATGTAGGTCTACAAGGGCTGTACACTAGGTCTCCTTTTACCCAATCTCAACCCATTTCCATTTATAATCCCCTAGTCACACATTGTTTAGCACATGCAAATCTCCTGAAAGCTGCCTCAAATTCTCTGTAGAATGAGACAAGGTGTAAATACAGCGATTCATTAATGAATCAATCCCTCAATTAAAAAAATTAAATTCAAGCTTCTTAGATTTCTAAAAACAAAATGCAGATAGAATGTGGCATTTGGCAAACATAATAAATTCTCCAAATTAATCCCACTGCAGTCAAAACAATCTCACTAGCTGATGAGTACCTAGCAGGCTAGCCATGACAGGTACATGGAGCACCCCAGTTTAGGGCTCTGCACATGGCAGAGTGGCTGATTTCATACACAGTGTCCCGATGTTTATAGTCTATAAAATTTAAGCAACCATCGTACTAAGTGCTTCTAAGACAGACACTGCGTCTGCCATTGGTGTATTTTTCACAGATGAGGTCCACCACTGTCACTGAATCAAAGTTAACCATGTCTCTCCTGAGTGATCCAAGCCACTGGGGGTTCAGGTGCATAGTAACTGTGGTGGGACATGCAGTGGACCTGTGATAGGAGTATCACCCAAGTTCCACAGATGTCTGGAAATCCAAGCCTGAAGCCATGCTCAGAATGGCTTTGGATGCCAGGTTTATGGTTTTGGGTGAGGGTGAAATAGAATACTGAAGGTGCTTTGGCTGAAAGTGAGAGCTCTGTCAGTTTTTCAGAGAAAAACTCTGGGTGTGGAGGAGGATAAGAAGGCAGAGGCAGAGAGAAAAAGTACAGAAGAGCAGTTAGGGGTGGGATGGTTAATTTTATGAGTCAACTTGGCTAGACTACAATGCCCCAATGTTTAGTCAAATGCTGTTCTAGGTACTGCTAAAAGGTATTTTGTAGCTGTGACTAATGACAAATAGTCAACTTTAAGTAAAAGAGATTACCCTTTCTAATGTGGGCGGGACTCAACTGATCAATTCATGTCCTTAATGGCAAAATCTGAGGCTTCCCAGAAGGGAAATTGTCCCTCAAGACTGAAGCATCGATCTACTTGAGTTTCCTGCCAACTGACCTAGTCTATAGATTCTGGGTTTGCCAGGTGCCATCATTCTGTGAGCCTAGTCCTTAAAGTAAACCTGTGTGTGTGCGTGCGTGCGTGTGTGTGTGTGTGTGTGTGTGTATGTGCATGTTTCCTACTGATTCTGTTTCTCTGGAGAACTCAGACAGGGGTGGTCACTGAAATTATTAACAGCATTGTGAGCTGGGAGTCACTCAGAACATGGGCCACAGAATAGAAAGGAAAGGACAGGATTAGAACCAGAGCTGACAGAACTTAGGTGGAAGGGGAGATGGATGTTCAGGGAAAAATAACTCTTCATGGGTTGGCCTGTGTGACCGAGGGGCTTGCTTAGGATGTACTTAGAGGCTCCGTAGGTGTGATGGTCAAGCATTCCTCTGGGCTAAAGCCAAGGCTAAGTGTTTTAGGATCAGCCACAGGTGCAGTGCATGAAATCACATGATGGTGTGCAGCAGGCCCTGGAAAAATTTAGATAATGCAGCAGAACCAGGGAGACACTGGGACTTCCCTGTTCTCAACACTCAACTTCAGAGGAGTTGACATGTTGGGGAAGGTTGTTCTTGATGTCAGACATTTATTTTGTGTTTAACCTCTGCTTTAAGAAGACAGTTACATTGCTATAAAAAGTAGAAGTTAATCAGTACACAGTACATTCTTAAAGGAATATCTTAATATGCATTGTATAAGTGACTGCACTGATTGTTATGTTCCACTTCTAGAAGGAGATTTGCTAATTGATTGGAAAGCACTTGGTGATTAGATAAGAAATGCACTTCTCCAAGCCACACCTTGGATGTACTCACCTATTTTGAGGGTGAAGTCATATAAATGGCAATAAAAAGACTCCTAGATACCCCAGCACAGCAACAAGTCATTATATTCAGAGTTTTTACCAGCAATGGGGAGGCCCAAACACTGAAGGTTTTTCTATTCCTCCCCTTTCCACTTAGTGGTAAACTCTTAAACAAACTTACCTTCTGACTGCCTATAAAATGTCGAATCACTTCCGGAAATACTTCCTTCATTCTCAAGATTTGCTTCAAATAAGCTTCCGCCTAGAGGGGAGAGAGTGAGGGAGACAGAGAGAGGGAAGAAAGGAGAGAATGATTATCCAGGTCTTTAGTGAGCACAAAAGTGTGTGTCACTGAACTTGCAGATGGACATCACCCACTTAGATTAAGTTAGCCTTGAAAATAGGTTTAGGGAATTGCTGGGTTCTATAATAATTCTGCACTTTTTGACCCATCACATTTTCCTTCTCATCCAGGAGTTTCTGGTATAGTGATGCTGTTCTGTGTCCCAACTTGCTTGCAGCACCTTCTTTAGAGGAAATGACAGAACAACAGAATGAAGTCGGAGATGTGAGGCCAATTCCAGGACTTGCAAATTACTAATCATGTGACTGTGAACAAGTTACTTTACTTTTCTGACACTCAACTTCTTTACTAGAAAATCTGGAATTTTCTAGTAAATAGCAGTCTCCTTATGATGGGGATGAGACATTTCTGACGTTCATAAGCATCAACCCAAATAATTGCTTCAGCTGATGATTCAATTATAACCATTCTCTTCTGTAGAAGAGACCAAAGAAGACATCAGATCTCTTAAGGCTTGCTCACAGCTGCTTCTTCGGTCTTCACTCAGTTGAGTGTACAACAGCAGTCTTAGTTCAAGGCTGGGAATAGCTGTTGGCTTAGTCTTTTTTAACCTGGGGATTTTAACTACATGTGTTCATATGTGAGTTCATCAAATGCAATCTTTGAGGGCAGTGATGGTCTTTTAAAAAAAATCAACATACTATATTTCTAGTGCTTAAGGAAGCACTTAGATGGTAGGTAGCTCAACTTTTGTTTTATTGAATCGGAGGCTAGTTGAAGAAAGTTTGATAGACTCCAGAAAATAAATATGGGTCTATATGTCTCAACTCATAAGGGGGCAAATTGTGCTGATGCCAAGCCAAAAAAGCAACAGACTTTCAAGGCACCTAATGCATCTTGTACTTTTGTGATGGGCTGTCATGGGGTCCCATGCGTTATGTTAAAGTCAGTTTTGTGGCTATTTGTAGTGGGTTTAGCAGACTATTACCTTTATAAAACAGGCTGGTCATGTGCAGTCTGGCCATCTACCATTTTCTGTGTTTGTGTTTTGGAAAAGATTTTTGAAAGACTGGAATTCCACTTTTTTAACTCCATGACCTTGAAGAAGTGACCTTGTCTACTTGGGTTTCAGTTTCCTTAAATGCTTTGGTGGTGAGTGTGGTGTGGGGACATACATCTGAGGAGGTGAATCCAGTATCTGAATCATATACAGTGTTTCAATAACATTAAAAAATAAGTATAATGAGGTTTTGGGCTATGTTGTTTCTACCATTCTCAGCTAAGTACAAATATTTCACTTTGACATGGCTACATACAACATTCATTCATTCATCCAGCAAATATTTCACAAGCGCCCACTAGGTCCTTGGCCCTGGGCTGGGTGTTAGTTTACATTGATAAATAAAGCCAGAAAACCTCACTGTGTTGATGAACTCTATAGTCCAGTGGGCAAGAATTCATTAATCAAGGACTCACGTAAATATAAAAGTACAGATTTGTTGAGTGTCCTGACCGGGTGGCTCACAGAATAGTGGGGTGTTCAGCAGAGAAAAATGATCAATGAGGAGGGATCAGCCAGGTGTAGGGAGCGTGGGATGGGGGTGGGGCACTCCAGGGCAGAGCAGACCATAGTGGAGGTGGCAGGGTACACACAGGTCACAGCATCACATTTGTGTTTGGATTTTTGAGGCAACAGCTATGTAAGGCCAGTAAAGTATTCACAGAGATGACCTGGTCAGGCTTGTGATTCAGAAAGCTACTCTGGCTGCTGTCTGCAGAATGGCTTGGAAGAGTGGACGAGGGCAGTTGATCTAGGGAGAGGAGGGGCAGAGAATATAAAACCTGAGAGTACCTGTTCTCTGGAGTGTCCTTGTGATGGAAGAACAGGGAAGGGCAGGAAGTGGAGGAGACTGCCTGGGTGGGGTGGGGGTGTGGCGAAACTGAAAGCACTTGGCTATTTGAAAATCAAAAGAAGGAGCCAGATGAAGGACTGGATGGGCAAGAAGGAAAGAACCAGTGACCTTGAGACAGTCCTGGAGGGTGACATGGGTCTAGTGGGGAGAATGAGGGAAGGAGTTGGGGGGAAGGGGGGCGTGGGGGGGGGGCTGCAGTGCCTCATGGCTGCAGCTAAAGGGGTTGGATGGCCTCAGATAGCAGCCAAAGGGACACACAAGGAATTCCCTGCCTGGTGTGGGCTGCTGACCTTCAAAGGAGGGGGTAGGACCACTTGCTGATAAAATGGGCAAGGCAAGGTGGTAGGAGTGTGAAGAAAGAGGAGATCTGAAAGCATCTGGATTCTGAGCCGAGCAGAGCTTGGTCTTGCATAGTTTTAAATCTTCTAGAACAATACCACTTCCTGTTTCCTTTGACGTGTGTATATAGGTGAGTGTTTGGGGGTTATTTAGGATGGTCTGATTTTCCCAAGGACAGAAAGCAACTGAACAGCACTGGAAGCACTGACGCAGCTGTCAGGCATCAAGTCACCATATTCAGAGTCTGAAGAACCTCTGATTTCACACAACTCAGCATTTGCAAAAGACATATGTCAGTCAAAATGAAGGTAAGAGACATGACAGACTTCAATAATCATGTTAGAAACATATAGAATAGTAATTAATAACAGGGGGGCTTATTTTTCCCATTTTATTTATCTAATACTCAATAAAAGCATATATTATTTGTCTGGTGATTAACTATATTGTTAATAGCTATTTTTATCTTTTTAGGTAGTGACTTTATTTACAATAACTGTTGACTTGCAGTGCTGGATCTATCAGATAAGTCACATGGGCACTAGTTATCACTGGTCTTGATTTTTTTATATAAATTTATTTACTTATCTGGCTTCTCTATTCTAACATAGGCTCTGAGAAGGCAGGGTCTTGCCAATTTTATCATCCCTAATTTCCTTCTTAAATCAGGCGGGCACATAGTAGGTATTCAATAAAATTTCACAGACTCAATAAGTGAATTTTAGGTGATCTGACAAGGTACACTTAATCTTAGCTGAAAGGCTGGGAAGTGATTTATCTGACAACGTAATGGGTCTCGCTTTATGTCTGAACTGGTTGCTTCAACAGAGGCTACAGGAGGAAGAGGAAGGCTAACTTGGGGGGGCTGCCGAAGGAGGAGCGTAGTACCAGATGAACATGGGGGGTGACCCATAAGCTTCTGCGAACCATTAATTTTCAATGCGCTGAGTGCGTGCTTTCATGGCAAACCCCGCTGTCCATGCTGGGCAAGGGGAGATGTGTCATAGGGGAGAGGAGTTTACACTCAGGGTTCTGGTGCATAGTGCATGCCTTGCACAGTGCAGATACTGAAGATTATAGCTTGCACATTACATTTTTGAAATAAGAACCGTTAGGTGGAGCTGAAGATGGAACACATTCAGAATTATGCTTAACAAACCACAGTAAACTTCTAGCTGAGGTTCTTGGTCTTGGCTGTGCCTTGAGATATCACAGGGAACTCTAAAAAATATCTGTTCTGGGAATACCTCCAGCAATCTGGAAGGAACTGACTTGATGATCCTGGGATTTTTTTTTTTTTTTTCAAAATCACACATTAGGTGATTCTAATGTGTAGTTATGATTGGATCAAACTGGCAAAATATTGAGGACATGAAACATGCCAGGCACAAAGCCACCCTCTGGAAACATAGCCATTACTACACGTGGGCAGCAAGCAAGGGGCTTTGTAATCCCCCACCTGGATGCAATTGTGGTCAGAGCTGTGACTGAGGTCCAGAAGAAACAAGTGGTGGTCCCCGGCACTCCAATCTGCTGCGATGGTGGCAGACAGTTCCCAGAACATGAGCCTCTTTTGAAAATGACACTTGAAAAGTTCAAAGCCTAAACTGGCTCACTTGGGATTCATGCCCACTTGCTCCATCTGTGGGGCCTCAGAGAGAAAGAAAAAGGAATGGCGATCGTGCTTTGTCCTACAGGATTCTCCACATGCGCTGCTTCCCCCTCACTTCACATCAAGCAGGAGAGGGCAGCTATGCGGTTTGAAACTGGTGATGCAGAAAAGGGTATAAAGCAGATGGAGAATGCAAAGCAGGGGAAAGAAGGGATAGGCTGCAAATGAGAGCCAATCCTTTTCTGGAATTTCTTGGGCTGAAAGGCTACTATTAGCAATATTATTTTAGATTATTTGTCCTCCATTCGGAGAGAAAACAATTTTAGAAAAATCAGCAAAGAGAAGATAAAAATCGTCTATGAAAACCTTGGGACTTGCTCTCCTAGTTACAGGTTTCCCAAGTAGTTTGAAAGACAAAGGTTCTAACAGCCACAAAGGCCCTAATGTGGCTGTATTTAATGTTCCACCCCATTTTCCCTTGTCTCAGGGAATGGCATATTTTTAGATAAGACATGACCAAAGACTTTATTGAGAACACAATGTGAAATAATGACAGTGAAAAAGGTCTGAATGGAATAAATGAGCTTTGGGTTTGTTTTTGGTTTTGCTTCTCTCTTTCTCATGGATAAAAAACATTTACCTATGTCAGCAAGGTAATATCTTCCAGGCCCTCCCTGGTAGCACAATGGGTTAAAGTGCAGGCGTGAAGCTTGCTGCAGGTGTCTCAGCACAAGTTCGATCCCCAGCCAGGGAGCTGACCCACATGGCACAGCAGACCTCTCCTGACCTGCCTGCCGGCTGCTCCCCTCAGGAGTATACCTCGTCAAGCTGCCTGTTCTGTTCCCCACTCTGCCCCTGGTGAATCCTCTCACCACCCCTGCACCTCTTGCCTGTATCCCAGTTCTATATACATAAATAAAATAAATCTTTAAAAAAAATAATATCTTCGTTTAGATACATGGGGGGGGGGCATGGCATTCCTATTCTTTCTGCTGGTCTAATATAACTAAAGAACATCACTGTGCATTTAATTACAGTGGTTGTCTTCACTGTATCAAAACAATTGGTAGACGTCATCCTTCAATCTTCCTGGGAGGAATTTGCTACTTTTCTAAGTTTCCTCATATCAAATTCTGGGCCTGGTAAAAATAGAATTTTGGCATGGGAATGGCAAGCACATCCTCTGAGTGCAGATCTAGAAATGCATCTCTAAGGACAACTTTACAGTGTTTTCATCATTAGGGAAGGTAGTTTTTAGGTATCCAAAATTAAGACGCCCACAAGTTGCAAAAATTCCTTGGTTCTCGAGTCTCCTATCCTATCCAGCCCTGTGAGGGATGCTGGAGCCAAAAAACTCAAAACTGAACAGTATCTTTGGATACTTCCTTATATTTCTGTTCTTGACCAGAAACAGATATTTAGGCAACTTTCTCTGGCCAGAAGGGAGTGTACAACATCCAGGCAGCCCGTCTGCTGTCCTGCTAGCCACCAAGGATCCCAGGGCAGCAGGCAGTGTGCATACCCAGAGTGTCGAAGCATGCTCCACTCTCCAGCCGGTGTTTCCTGTACAGGTTCTTCAGGACCTTGGCACTGCCGAAGCGTTTAAAGCGGCTCTTCACATTATTATAGAACCACTCCAGAGACTGTGTCCTCAGTAGCCTGAGGAAAAAACAGAATTAGAAAACAGAAAGTTAGAGTGAAAAAGGACTTATTAAATGATGGATGGTGAAAGTCGCCATGATACTTTGCAACTCCTTCCAGTGAGACAGAGCTTATTTCTACTCTGTGGGTCTGTGCTGGCCCAGTGACTTGCTCTGACCAGTTAGAGGATGGATATGATGCTGTGTGTCTTCACACCTGTGGCTTCCTCTCTTGCTGTTCTTGTGAGCATTGCAGCCTGTTATCAGGTGAACAGCTCAAGCTGGCCTGGAGATGATGAGGGATACCTGCCCAATCACTCTGCTTGCTACAGCCAGTACTGAGCCAACTTCCTGACAGGTGAGCACAGCTCTCCACTGCCAGTTACTGGAGATGCACGAATGATCCCAAATGGTAAGACCGTACACCCAAGTCAACATCAAAGCTGAGCTGGTAGCTGCTTGCCATTTGAAGCCACTGATATGTGCACCTGTTTAATATAAAGCAGGCTTTATATTTAACTCTCTTACTGCAATAACATTTCTTATTCAGTTTGGAGAAATAGAGAGCTATTTCTATTTGGCCTCGACAGCAAAAATCCTACAGTTTCCTATTATCTACTTCTAGAGCCCTGTAGAAATACAGTTTCTTGATCTCTATAGTAATAGGCAGTAGGAACACTGACAAGAGGCTTCTCTTTTATGCCTGACATGTTCCTAAATCCCTCTCATTTCAAGAATAGCTTTTGTTGGTATTTTTCTTAGTATGAATATAATAATGCATGCTCATTTCAGAAAATTTAGGAAAGTAAAATGAACATAAAGGCTTCTAATTCAATGGAAGAAAAAGCATATATTTATCTGCTCTTCCTCCTCAGATGCCAGTAAAATGTGAGAAGATATCCAAAGGGGAGAAAAATTGTAACAACGAAGAATGGGAATGAGGGCAGGCTCATGAAAGATGAGAATCAGAAGTTTTTGACAAATTTCTTCAAAGTTGAAAATGAGTGACAGCGAAAGGAAATAGAACATTGTCCTTTAAAACAGATAAAAGAGCTGGGACTTGGAGGAAGAACTACGACTGTGGAGTTGATTGGTAGAGAGACCAGGACTGGACTGTGAGCCAATAGCCAGAAAGCAAATTCAATGTTACATAGAGAATAGTGAGTTCTCGTGATCTCAATCTTTTATGCCTCAAACAACTGGATAATTGGTCCAAGGATGCTTTGTCCTGGCTGAAGATAAAATCTAGTTCTCTAATAAAATGGAGCAATGTATTTGAGGAAAGAAGGAATTCGATGCAGGGGTTGCCACTTTGCAGTGAAGCCCGCCTCATTTTGCATTGGTGGAGTCCCTACATGCCTGCCCACCAGAGCCTGTTCATGTACCCCAAAGCCATCTTCCTCTATGGCTTACAAACTTGGGAGCTTTCAGTCAGCACCCAACCCCAAAGCAGAGGCCTACTGGGAATAACAATTTATCCATTTTGATTTATTTTGTTAATTAGCTAAGTCCTTTGTTTTAAAAAAAATATGAACAGACAGGGGATAGACATTCAAAATAATCCAATGTCATGAGAAAACTAGTGCAAACTGAGTGAAGTTTTTAAAAATGATTTATTTTTATTTATTTATGCATACAAGAATTGGGGTATTGGCCAGAGATGTGGGAGTTGGGAGGATTCACCAGAGAGAGAGAGTGGGGAGCAGAATGGGCAGATCTACTGATATGCACTGCTGAGGGGAGCAGTGGGTGAGACAGGGGAGGTCTGCTGCGCCATGTGGGTCAGCTCCTTGGCGGGAAGGCACCAGCTGGTGATGGAACTCATGCTGCAGTGGTTGGTGATAGCAGATAGTGCTGAGACTTTATCTCTGGCACCATCAGGGAGGCCTCCAAACTGAGTGAAAATTTTAAAAAAGGGAAATGTAGACAACCCAGGGTTCTAAAAATAGCTTAGCCCAAGCTAAGCTCAGCTAAAGAAACGCTCAAAACAAACACTTGAAAGCTGACTATAGAAATGAAGCATCCAGAGAGGGGAATGGAAGAACAAAGAGGGACGGAGGCACAGTGGCGTATAATGCAGGATATGGGTAATTCAGTGGTGGGTGCACTATGGTGGGATACCTGATAGGAGGGATTCTAGAGGTACCTCAATTGAAAAAGTACAAATTTATTTTACAATTCTAATTAATAATAACAATAGTGATTTGAAAAGGAACTGCATCTCTATAAGAAGACAAGGGTGGCCCTCCCTGGTGGCACAGTGTGTTAAAGCACAGCACTGCAAGCTGGCTGCAGCCTCTTCTGTGCATGTGAGATCTCTACCCCAGAGGTGACCCACATGGTCCGGCAGACCTCTCCTGACCTGCCTGCAGCTCCCCTCAGCAATGTACTTTGTTGATCTGCCTGTTCTGCTCCCCGCTCTGTCTTTGGTGAATCCTCTCACTTGACCTGCACCTGCAGTCTGAACCCCAGTTCCCTATGCACAAATAAATCAATCTTAAAAAAAAAAAAGACAAGGGTGATGTGAAACATAAAGAATCAGAAGATAAGTTATGGTTTCTTAGGGATAGAACAGATGGTTGGTGAAAATATTTATCAGAAGATTTAAAGTTGAAATCAATATAATTTTTCCAGAATTTAGACTAAGGAGTAAAAAAGATGAGGCATATGAGAGAAAGGGATATAGAAGTTTGTTTCAGTGAGTTCAGCATCTAACAAGATTGCAGAAGGGGAGAGAAGTGGAAGTGCTGGAGAAGGGGAAAAAGTAGGACATAACAGTAGAAAACTGATGCAAGTAAGTAAAGCAAATGTCTTTAGGTTAAAAGATCCTACCAATTACCAAGCAGAATAAATGAAATACAAAACAAAACACAGCAAAATCACTTATACATTCTTCATGAAAATTCAGATCCTCAAAGACAGTGAGATTTTAGGAGCTTCCCGACAGAATAAAAGGGTATTTTACAAATGAACAAAACTAATGACGTTAAAATTTTTTTTTTAAAGATTTTATTTATTTATACGGAACTGGGGTACAGGCCAGAGATGTGGAGGGTGAGAGAATTCACCAGAGACAGAGCAGGGAGCAGAGCAGGCAGATCGACGAAGTACACTGCTGAGGGGAGCAGCGGGCGGGTCAGGAGAGGTCTGCC